GCCGGGCGCGGTGCCCTCGGGCGCCGAGGGAGGCTGCTGCTGCTGCTCATTATCATCCCCCTCGCGCCATTCGGGGTCACTATCCAAGTCAAGGTCCTCATAGGCGGGCGGCGCGGACGCCGCCTGCGGCGCGTCGAGGGGGCCCGACGGGCTGGGCTCGCCGTCGGGCGCGGGCGCGGGCGCGGGCGACGCGGGCGGCCGCTCGGGCGCGTCCTGCCACGAGGCGGTCGGGCGCCGCTGCTTGCGCGGGCGCCGCTGCGGCGCGGACGAGCTGCCCGACGCTTGCTGCTGCTGCTGCTGCTGCTGCTGCTGCTGCTGCTGGGGCTGCTGCTGCTGCTGCTCTTCCTTGAGCTGCTGCGGCTGCACTTCGTTCAACTGCTGCTGCTGCTGCTGCTGCTGCTGCTGCTGCTGCTGCTGCTGCTGCTGCTGCTGCTGCTCGTCAGCTATGCTGCAGCCATGCAGCTCCCCCTGCCCCCCAGTCGACGGCCCCGCGCCGCGCGCCAACGGCCCCATCACGTGGAGTGTGCCAGGGCCAAGCAGGCGCGCCGCGGGCGCGCCCGCGCCTGCTGCGGCTGCGCCGGGTGCAGTGGCAGACTCCAAATCAGGGACCTTCTGGCGCAACCAAGCCAGGCTTGGGGCGGGGCCTGGGGCGTCGCCCAGGCCCGGGGGGCTGGCACCAGCCGCGGTTTCGACCCCCTGCTCCTGCTGTTGCTGCTGCTGCTGCTGCTGCTGCTGCTGCTCTGGCCGTTCCGGCTGCTGCTGCAGCAGCTGCTGTGCATCTCCACCCGCCAGGGCCGCGGCCAGCTGGAACGCGCCGCCGCCGCCCCCCAGCATTCGCGGGCTGGCCAGCGTCCCCTCGACTGCCGGCGCGCCGCTGCCGTCGAGGGCGGCGACCGCGGCCGCGGCGCGCCTCAGGGCTGCGAGCAGGTCCACTTCAATCGGCTCCTCCATTGTGGCCGCGGGCCGCGGGCGTTCGCCCGGCGCGAGGGCCGCCAGCGCAGTCGGGTGTGCTGCTTCCCGGTGTAGTGTCGCTCACGCTGTCGACAAGGCCCCGCACTTTCCGCGCCCGGCCGCAGGGGCCGTCCCCGGCCGGCAGGCTGCTAGAAAGTCTGGAAGTATGCCCCAGAACTTCAGGAATTCCCCGGTGACCTGTGCGGATTCACCAGGCAGGCTGGGTAGCGTGGGATCACTCGAGTCGCTCACAAGGGATGTGCTGCAGGCCGGCGCATGTGCGGGGGTGTTCTTGAAAAATGGGACCCTACTTTTGTGGCCGAGGTCGGGTTGCGTGCAAGAGGAAGCCAACACCACGGGGCATACCAGCAGGCAGCCTTGATAGCGTGCCTTCCCAGTTGTGCGAATGGCACAAGCTTGGTGTAAGTCTTGAACCGAGCAAAGTCAACTCAGGGCCTGGGGGACGCTGGCCAGGGGATGTGCATAGCCCGAGGACTCATCGGCGCCCGCCAAACAACCAGGGGAGGCGGCGACGCATTGCGCAATGCGCCGGTTCGGAGAGCGAGCGACGTGTGAAAGCGTGCTTGCTTGGTAGCCAAGCCCGCCTGACCGCAATCATTGCAAGCTGCACGTGTTGGGGCGACTGTGCTCGGCCTTGCTGCTTCTCATGCAGATGCCCTGGGCGAAGCCTCGTGTTCACTTATATGCGTCCGCAAAGGGGGGATCTGAAATTGGCCAATCGCAACTAGTTAATGGTTGACCCCATGCCGTTGTGCAGTTGTGCTTGTCGTCATTCCAAGTACATTGCACCCGCATACACTCGGCCGATCATGGGGGTCATGTGACAAGGCAACGGTGGTTGGTGGGCCGGCCAGGATGATATGTGCGGGAGGCTTGGGGCCAGGCAACAGTCCGCCCATGGCGACGTCGCGGCCCGGCTGGCTGGGGCTGTTGCGCGGCGACGCGTCCGCCGCCGCGTGGCATGCGATTTCCCGCTGCCAGCGCACAAACCGGTCGTCGCAGACCAATGCAATGGGCAGGGAGCCCTGTGTTCCAGCCCTCGAGTGTTTCGGGTGGCTGCATCGTGCGCATGCGCGTCTTCCGCCTTCGCCTGAGTAAAAGCGTCACCCGCGATGGGCGCCCGTTTGCGCTCCAGCTGGGTGACAGGTGGGGTGGCGCTATGCGTAACACACGATACGAGCGCGCCGACCAAGACACTTTTGTTGGTTGTGCAACATATATTAATTGTCGCGTGCCGTGCGTTGTGCAAGGACGGTAGAATCTACTGTACACGGAGAGATCACAGCGCGACGGTTATTGAATTCTAGCTGCAAATACAACGTGAGTTTGAGCTGATCAATCGATTTGCATTAAGCTGGAGCCCGTGAATGGACGCAGCAGGCTCAGCGGCGCCGTCCGCTCGGCGTTGTGCGTTGGCTGGTCGGCACGGCCACTCCTGCTGTGCGCCCTTGCCGCCCCTTTGCTCGCTGGCCGGATTCATGCATCCTGGTGGCAAACGGGCAATCTCCTTTGACGATCCCCGTAGCGTAAGCCACGCGGGCGGCACAGCCCACCCATGTCGCCCACTCACCGCGGCTCCCGTCGCCAAGTGCACCCCCTCCCC